ACCTAAAAGTAGCAAAGTAACTAATACTGTCTGGAATTAAATCAGGTAACCTTGACCAAACAATTAACTCATCCTCTGTTAAATCAATATTTACTGATGCTAATACTGAAACTAGTTCCAGTAGTTGGAGTTACAGCCATTCATTTAGTGTCTTTATTATTAGTAATTAGGTTCTTGTCTTTCTCCAGTTCTATTCTCAAAGCTAGTACTTGGCTTACTTGTAGGAAGTGGCCTAGTCTGTCGACCCAGAGTGTGCGCTCTGCACACAGCTGAAGTTACTTTGTGAGGCTGACAGCCCTTTCTGGTTGTGTGACTCCATGAGAACTGACACAAGTTCAGGTGCATGTTGCTGCAGCCCCACTTAGACTGACTGCTGTGGAGCCATGGCTTGGAGCTATTTTAGCAAATAAGCTGTTGTAAATAACAGGGAGGGTTCCAGCTGTTGAATTATCAGTATATTCTCAATGGATTATTTTTTTGCCATACAGCTGGAGTGTTGCTTTTGTGGCAGGTTCAGTTCACAGAGGTTCTTGACACCCCAGTAGCATTCTGTCCATTCTCAGCACTCCTAGTAGGGCACTTAACTGTGACAAATGATGAATTAATTTACATTGATGCACTAATGTGGTCATGAAGCTCTCTACTAGACCTTTATTTATTCTCTTTTCATTGTATAATATAGTCTTTGCTTCTTGAATCAGATTATGTTCTTTTGGATGTTGAATTATCTTCAAACAATCTAATATAGGTTGATCTTACCCTTGTTTGGGGAAGGATTTTCTTCAGCGTGATATCAGGTCTGCAGTAGCATCGCAGTGTTTGTTCTGCTCCTGAACTAGCTGAAGAGAAATTGTGCCAGTGTTTTTCAGATCCTGAAAGATGCTTTGGTTCATATCTAGTATTGCATAATCTAACATACACCTAATGAATATGTGTGATAAAGTGGGAGATGCAACAGCAAAATTGCAGTAACAAATACTAACGTTTGATAATGGGATTCCAATGTAATAGTTACAGTAATACGTCATATTAGACTAGCTTAATATTTCTCTGACCTTCAAGCTTACTTATATTACTCTTGAATTTATGCTTATTAGCAAAAAGCATCCTGCTCCCAAGTATGGGCCCATTAATAGGATTAAAACATGGATTCCTTTTCATTTGAAAGGCAGGAAATAAAGAAAATTGTTGGAATATAAGTTCTGAAACTGTTATTTTGTCTATGACCCCCAAACCAGCATCAGGATAAGTGGAGAAAATACTCTTTTTATATTATAGCCAAATTTATTATTTCCTAGATACAGGGGGGGTTTTTTGCAGTGGCTAAATGCCTTTTTTTATAAAACTGTGTATTATCTTCCAGGCCTGTAACTTTTGAGTGGGGGGCTGTTTTCAGTGATGTAACTTTTTACTGTAATAGAATGAGATTAACACAATCACTTGGTTGTTAATTGCAGGCTGGCAAAAGAAAAAATCATGTATGAAAAAGAAGCAAAACAGCAAGAAGAAAAGATTGAAAAAATGAAAGCTGAAGCATGTGATGATTATGGAATTAAGAAACAGGTAAACTATCCTATAACTTGTTTTATAAAATCCTTATTTGTTTTCATTTAATCATAGTAATCTTTAGATAGAGGAATCTCCTATACTTTTTTCTAGACTCATGTTATGTAAATATTAGACTAAAATCCTGACATAAAAAGCAGCCATAGAAATTTCTTTAAGGTGTTAAATTACAAGGATTATAGTTTATATGTATGTATATGATTACTTAGTACTTTATGTCGTCATGACTGTTACTCGCTAACTGTGTGTGAGGCCATCATGAACTCTTTCTTGGAAATACAGAAAGCCTGTAGTGGATACATGGTCTGGGTGGATGTAGGTAAACCAAGTGCTTGCTGCTAACTGGAAATGTTACAGCAAAGTGAGAATGCCCGATAGTTAATATGAAGGGGAAACATTTCAGCTCTTGAGTATACCAGTATCCTTGTGGTAAAATCACAAACCTCAGAGAAAGAAAGTAGTGGGTATGCAGCTGTGGAGGTGCTGGAGTTTGTAGTGAAGTCATAGATTAGGAGGGGGCATGCTGTTCTTTGGCCTGCTCCAGAGTATGGTTTAGTGTCACTGTTAAGTATGATTACATTTTTTCTTGGAAGGTTTACCACAAGGATGGTGGTTGCGGGCAGTTGGTACATACCCTTTTGGGAGAAAAGTATAACATCTACTCACAAGAGGAACTTGGGTTTGGGAGATTTGTGTTTATTCTCTACAGAAGAGAATGAAATGTCTATGAAATGTCTGTGTTTCACTATGGTACTCATATTATTTCAACTAACTATGTTACCTTTTGATTATGTTTTTTGTCCAAGTATTTCCCAGGTGCTTTCTCTCAAATCTTCACAGAAATCAAAACTGTACTAAAATTATTTTCACTTAATAGTCATAAATATAACATTCTGGAATCCTGTCTTTATTTTTAAACAATGTAAGAAAAGATTAAACAAAATTCAAATACAAAATTAACAAAAGATAGGAGAAAGCCCTTTTAGAAAAAGTTAAACCAACTTTTTTTAGTAAATTAATATTTCAGTTCATATATCTATGTCCTGCCTTGCTTTCATTATGCCATGGGAGTGAAATACAAATAAGGAATTTGTATATAAATAAAGATTTGATTTATGGAACAGACCTGTCTTCTGCCTCACCAGACTGAGACTTGAAGATATACCAAACAGTAGCCTTTCTGAAGATCTGGTGCTAACAAGAACTAATGAGTTAAATTCCTATTTTTAGTGTTGCCCATTCATCAGATTATTTGACTGTATCATGTTGTTTCCACAGTGACCTGCAAGATATCATGAAAATCAAAAACAGGGATGGCTGTGAACTTCTGCTGAAATTGTTACCTACTACTTGAAGGTCTTTTTAGAGACCAGTGACAAAAGCCTTCACAGAAAACAGTCTTGATTAATTTAGAATTGCCCAATCTACTTTGAAAGCAATCCGTTTCTCCAATGATGTTTTCACTTCTTGTTTATTTAGTGCACTTTGCATTCTGGAAGTTAATATTTTAGGTTATTAAAAACTTGGAGATTTCGAAGAAGGTTATATGGTTCCAGGAGAGTTTGCTCAGAACAATATTTTGGATACAGTAAAGACTTTGAGATGTTTTTTCAGAAAAAATATCTCTAGTTACGCATTTTAAGAATTGCTTTTAGTTAATCTCTAATTTCCATTCTAGGGTGCATAACTCTTAAAATACAGTTGTAATCTTTATTTTGGTAATGAAAAGTAACATTTAGGGGGTGGGAACAAATTCAAGTCACTTGAGACTAGGAGAGCAGTTTAACTATTAGTTTAGCTGAGGTTTTGGCTAAATCATACATATATATATATATATGTGTGTGTGTGTATTTATATACACACACAAATCAATCCAGAGTTCAGGGAGGGATTATTAAAAAGCTTAAAAGCAATACTTCCTCTTGATGTAGTACTGTTTTCATTTAGCTTTCTAGTTACAACTGGGAACATATAGTTTTACATACAAAAGTGAATACAGAAAATTTCATTTTAGAGTGAAAGATGCCATTCCTACAGCATATGTAGTCTTCACAGTATGTCTGGTCTGTAATGAGGGATCAGTCCCTTTGTAGAACAATAGGGTTTGATTCAGTATTTTTCTTCTAACTCCTTATGCATTGGGGCAACTCATGGTTCCAGTGGACTCAAGTCTTCTCTAGCTGAGGCAGCGACCATCTGGAATGGTTGGCCTTGCCTGAACTGTCCAGAAGGGCGTGCTTAATGAGGAGCAGGTTCAATACCAGAAAAACAAAAAGGACAGTTTTCTTGCAATGCTGTTAGATGCTGAAGATTCCATTGTAGTGTGCAAGAAGACTTTGTTATGGTAATAAATATTAAAATACTTCTGATTTATCCCATCAGGTACAATTTCTGCTTATAGTTTCTGTGGGTAGCAAGAAGTAGTGTAGTTCTGACTCCCTGTGGATTTTGTCTTAATCAAGTCTTAGTTTCTACTCAGTTATAGCAATTCTCAATATATGAAGACTTTCCACAGTACTTTATAATACTACTTTAATGGAGAATTTTCACACAGTATAATTTGAGTGCAGACTAATGATAGAAACCTGTAGTTTTCTGTACTGCTGTGGTTGTTGATGTTCATATATAAATAAACATCCTTTCACAGCTCATGCTTTTATTTTGAGACTTCTGAGCCAGGGGAAAGCAAGGTATCTACTCTGTGTTTCCTCTCTCTGGGATTGTAGATATACTCTGGTGGTTTTGCTAACTGGCAACATTTTTACTGATAAGTGAGTGGTAAATTTTCAGGTTTTTAAATGTAATTCTGCAGTTCCAAGTTACTTCTTGAGTAATGTCATTTCTAGATTAATTTAAAATCCAGTGGATTTAACACAGAATTTAATCGCTTCAAGTACATAAGAGTATATGTAGTACATCTTGCTCATACACAGGTTTTTTCCAGTATTTGTGAAAACTGCAATATTTCTCATGCTTTGTTGGGTGAAAGAGTGCCTTCTGAACCAGCAAAAAAGACATGCATTTGGAAACTATTTTGGAAAATAATGCGAAAGATGGTAATTTGCTGCTGATCTTGTTATTGGTGGGCTTCTTGTTGAAAGAAAGGTTGTAATGTTCTAGAACTTCTTAAATGTTGTTTATCTTCAAATAAATATTCTGGTTCGTTTAGTTGGCTTTTTACATTCTTAGCCCTTTCCAACCCCTCCCCACCGACTGGTTCGAAGTTTCTTTCTTCTTACAGATTGAGTAAGATTAGATTAAATGTGGAGTTTTACATAAATCTCGTTATTTGCATAAGTACTTTTTCTGCTCCCTAAGAATAGATGATCTTTGTTTAATACTATGAATTCTAGCTCTAGATGCTTGGTAGAGTGGCAGTGGAAATGCATGTGAAGACCTAAGGCTTCTCCTTATGTATTTTGACAGTATCCTTAACAGAAGCACAGTTTGTTTACTGAAAAGCCAGTAACTTGGAATTCTCTGGACCAAGTTCAATACAGGATCCTTAACACAGACCTGGTATTAAAGATTATTTCAAACTTTATGAAAGAAACAAAATTATGAAAAAGCATTCCTGTGATCCTCCTTTTCCACTTCTGTTTTCCAAAGAGTGTTTTCCTTCTTATCTAGGCAGACAGAAGTATCTTCTGGATTCCAGACTTTATGTCTTTAATGTCCTAAAGTGATCTGCTTTAGATGAAACAGGATTAGGTCTTACCTGAGAGGAGCTGCAAAGAAAACTCATTTGAAATACCAAGGTATTACATCTAGAGGGTTTTCTCCTCCTCCATCAGTATTCATACTAGAAGTGGTAGGTAGTTTATTGTTGACACATGGCCATTTCTTGAGGCAGTTAAGCACTGTAGAAACAAAACGGTGTTCCCCAGTTTTTTATTGCAAGGTCCTTCAGGAGTCTTTTGATAAATGTATTTGACATTTATCAAAACAGATACAACCGCAAGTGTGCTGTTGTATTTGGTATTTGTGGATAGTTCAAACTTCTTTTGGTCCTGAAAGCAAGTAGAACTCATAAAATTGTATTTCCTACAATTCTTGTGTGCATTTATGTAGGGTTTTTTTGTGTCAAAATTCACCTTAATTCTGTATCTGCTTTGAGTTTCTGCCTTCCCTATGCCCAGCTTCTTGCTACGTTATCTATGCTGTAGTACTCCATAGATCCCTACATCACAATCCTGACCAAGTACATTGATATTACCAAGGCCCAGTACCTTGATACTACTCCTTGCTACTACTGAGAAGTACTGCAATGGTGTGGATTTAAGTTACAAATATGGATTAGCCTACCAGTAGCCTTAGCATGATTATTTATTGTGTGCTACTAATCTTACTTAGTGGAATTACTAAATTTTAGAATATTTGGTGTTTGTAATACTTAGAGATTAACTTTTTTCTTTTAGTCTCTGTCCTGCCACCAGATATGGCTGTAATTAGTCAGTGGATTCCAAGTGCTTTACAGACTTTTTTGAGGAACAGTAGTTCAAACCAGTTGCATTTGTTTTTGCAAATAATTATCTGCATGTCTTTTCCTTACCTCTGCCATCTTTGAGTAGATCCATACTGTTAGGATTATCTGTGCAATAGACAACAGGCAAGTGATTATGTGACAGTATTTAAAATCTAGACTATATATTAATTTTGTATATATAATTGGTAGATAATGACTCATTTACATTTGTCATGGTTTTTAGCCCACCTCTTCTGTTCAGAACACTACTCTTGTCACATGAAACAATACTGCCATCATACCCTGTGACCTCATACCAGTAGTATATCAGGGTGTCCTTCTAAGAGCAAGGAGAGCCCTCAGGAGTTTGTTTGGGGTTTTTTTGTTTTGTTTTGGGGTGGGGTTTTTTTGTTGTTTTCAAATTATTTGTGGATCTAAATCTCTTCTTTAGGTGTGGGTCAGTTGGGAAAAAACCCAAATCAACATACTCTGCTTCTGTTTTTTGTAGCTGATAAAACTAACATCTCTCCCTCCCTCATTACTGCATTTTTAAAAACTATTACATTGTTCTTATATCAGCCCACAAGGTTTACCTTTTCTTCCCGTTATCTTCTCCCCACTAGGCTGGGAGCAGGAGCAGGTGAGCTGCTGCCTGGTACTTAGTTGCTGGCTGGGGATGAAATGCTCTGGTCTGGTCTGGACTTTGAGTTGCTGCAGTGCACATCACAGAGGTGGAAATGACTGCAGTGCCTGGCATTGGAGTTTGGGTGGCTATCGTGCTTGTCACCCTTACATTTCGTCTGAAAGTTGGGCAGAATTTTGGTAGAATTTGAAGAATAAACACTTTTAAAAATCCAATCATAAGGCTTATATAATTGTTTGAGCTTTTGACTTTATTATGTATATTTGTAAAAGTAATTAGTGTTATCTGGGATTATCAGCATCACTTGAAAAGAAATTAGTTTATGCAGAAGTTAAATCATAATGTCTCCACAAAATTCCTGTTCTAGTCTCCAGCTGTTTGCACCTACTGAATATAGTTCTAGGATTTATCATCTTTCTCATTTTTATTCATCATTGCACCACTGGTACATATAAATAAAACTTGGGTAACCCTTTGGAAATCAGTCAAATGTTGTTTTGAATAGAATTATTTGGGTGGATTTGTTTATTTCTTAGAGCAGGCAGGACTATAGCTTACAGATTCAAGATTTACAAGCCTTCCCAGATTGCTTATCTAGTGGCACATATCAAATAAGTTACTAACTTCATACTATCTGCTTAACAAGCTTTACAACACACAAATATTTTGTATCTGTGTGGCACAAGGACATTCTCACTCCTGTAGGTATTCTACTACATAAAGCAAAAGGCATCATATAATGCAGTTTATGGCACACCTCATTCTATGGCTGTTACATCGACTGATGAAAGTGTAGAATAAGAAACTAAAGTTTTTTCTCTCAACACCAAATGGTCTAAGTGACACTTAAAAACTTGCTGATAATATCTTGTTACACAAAGCCTTTCTGAATACTTAAATGCATTCTTAGCTACAGCTTAACATCCCTTTTACAATGACCTTTTGGTACAGCAGCATTAATACTACCAGGACAATACAACATAGGAATGACAGAAGGCAAATGCCATTTAAAGGGAAGGCTTTCTGTTGTAGGTTATCCTGAACAGAGATGTTTCATATCTAAATATCTAACAGATTTTAATTTCTAAATAGATTTAACATTACTGAGCAACTCTGCACATCTTTTTTTCTTGGTGTTTGGTGTTCAGATCCAGAAATGCTCCATGAAATAAGTGTTCCCTTTCTTAAAACTGAGGTTGTTTTCTTTAGGAGGTGGCAGGATTTTCAGATTCAGTGGGGTGCCAGTTTAGTAATTTTGTTCAAAGTGCATGGTGAGAATAATCTTTCTCCTAAAATGAAGCACAAGGATATGTAATAACTTTTTATGCATGATAAGCATCAAAAATATGAGCCTGCTGGTCTTTGCTTTTCATTTTTCTTTACCTTTGTCTTTCAGTCAGAGCCTCCTGCAGTCTGCACACAATGTGATCAATAACTCAATAACTTTTTTCATGCAGTAATTATCTCTATGGGGTATTATCTGAACATTTTTTTTCTTTATTACCCAAAAGATGCAGGAGATATTTATATAACCAGCTGATCCCCTTTTGGATGAAGCTGCTTCATGACAGCAGGAGAAAGTTTGTTCTAAATAGACTTTTTAACAAATGCTGAAAACCTTACTAAGCTGTACTTTTTGGCTAAGGGAAAGATTATTCTGAATACTGCCTTGCACTTAATACTTGATATTCAGTTAAGCATAGAGTAAATGGAAATGTGCTGTAAATTAATGGAGTTTTAAGCAATTATGCTAAGTGAATGTCTTTTAAGAAAAGAAACCTATTCAAAAGATAACTACAACTGTTCTGAAGTTCCTAGCTAATGACTAGATTGCTGATTTTAAAAACTTATCCTACAAGATAATGTTTCTATCTGAAACATATTCTAATTTCATTGTCTTCTGATTTTCACAGATCGAGATCTTACAAGAGTCACGAATGATGATTCCAGACTGTCAACGCAGACTAGAAGTTGCACATGCAGAGCTTACTCAACTACTAGTAAGTATTGCATCTTACCCCAACTGATGAAGAAGTGCTGCAGTTCCTGGATAAACAACTGCAGCAAATAAAAACTGGATTAAAGAATTTTCTGTAGGTCCCAAGACCAGCATCCTATAGGATACCAGTATTTTGCTTTAGATAGCAGTCTTTGCAGACTTGGTCTTCTGTCTGTGGAGACTGTGTATGTGTTAGAAGCTGTCCTTAATGTAATGTACACTGAACGTACACTTATCCCAGACTGTGAAAATGGACTCAGAAATCCTGTGCTAGTTCCCTCATTGGAAAAATCAGTTCACCTACTTTAGATTTTATAGATAGTATAAATGTATATAATGTGCTTGTAGGGAACTGAAATTGTCAAGTACTTTGGTTACTACTCTTATTATGCCATGGACAAGTCAGAGGAGTCCTTGCTGAGTATTGCTTAATGTTTTAATACTGAAGTGAGCAGTACTGCCCTGCTTTTTAAGATAAAAATACCTTTAGGAATAAAGAGTATGTTGTTACAAAGACATTCACTGAGCCTATACTATGTTTGGAGATGATAATGCTTATTTTAAAAGCTGCCTTCTCATCAAGAATTCAGTTACAAATGTTGGTACACAATAAGTGGTACTGTGAGGCTAAAAATACACATCCTAAATTATGTCCCAGATGTAGTGATGGCTAAACTGTAAATACCTTTTTAATGGAAAAGTCAAGGTGTCCTGATCTCAGGTAGTCTGCCTCTACTGTTTGTCAAAATAAATGCTCAGTATCTGGCAGGATTTAGGGTCTTTTTGTCATTCAACTAGTTACTGAACAGTTAGTCTAAATTTCAGTGGCATACAGAAATGGCGCTATTGATTCGTAGTATGCAAATCTAAAACAAGGAATAGAGACAGTTACTATTGCTGTTAAGAATTTGGAAGTCTTCATGTGTTGCTTTCTGTGCTTAGCTCACCTTCAATGCATTTATTAAAATGTACTGTATCCTAGTATGTTTTTCAGTTGTCAGTCTACTTAAGCATTTTTCTAAGAGTACTCTTGATCTAAAGTTCTTACTTTTCCCTTGGTTTTAGATATTCAGCACTGTGAAATAAAGGTATGCATAGGTCAAATCCACTTGCACATGACAGCCATTATCTGGGACCTTAAGCAGGACAAAAGAATTTACCTGTGCTTTGAGTAACATAGCATATGTGTTTTCAAAAATTATATAGTCCTCATTTCATAGAATGGTTTGGGTTGGAATGAACCTTCAAAGATCATCTGTTCCAACTTCCTTGCACTGACCAGGAAGATCTTCAACTACATCAGGTTGCTTAGAGCTCCATCCAGCCTGACACTGAGTATTTACATGGATGTGACACCTACCACCTCTTTGGGCAACCTGTCCCAGTTCTTGACCACCCTCCACTGTAAAAAACTTCTTTTTATCTAGTCTGAATCTATTCTCTTTTAGTTTAAAACCATCACCGTTTGTCCTGTCACCACAGGCCCTACTAAAAAGCCTGTCCCTGTCTTTCTCGTAGGCCCCCATTAAGTACTGAAAGGCTGTTGTGAGGGCTGCCCAAAGCCTTCTCTTCTCCAGGCTTTACAAACCCAGCTTTCAGCCTGTCCAAAAAGAAGGTGCTCCATCCCTCTGATCACCTTTGTGGCCTCCTCTGGACTCCCTCCAGCAGGTCCATGTCCTTCCTGTGCTGGGGCCCAGAGCTGCTGCAGCCCTGAAGGTGGGGTCTGAGCAGAGCAGAGCAGAGGGGCAGAATCCCCTCCCTGGCCCTGCTGCCCACCCTGCTCTGGATGCAGCCCAGGACACGTGTGGCTCTCTGGGCTGGGAGTGCCCATGGCTGGGTCATGTCCAGCCTCTCAGCCACCAGCACCCCCAGGTCCTTCTGGGCAGGGCTGCTGTGATCTGTCCATCCCCAGCCTGTGCTGGTGCCAGGGCTGCTCTGACCCACGGGCAGCACCTTGCACAATGGACTTGTTAAAACACATGAGTTTTTCTATGGGCCCACTTCTCAAGCTTGTCCAGATTCCTCTGGATGGCATCCCATTTCTCAGTTGCAGAAGCTGAGCTACTCAGCTTGGTGTTATCTACACATTTATGGATCTTACTTTCTATGTCATTAATGAAAATATTAAATAACTGGTCACCATACAGAGCCCTAAAGGACACCACTGGTCACCGATCTCCATCCAAACATTGAGTCATTGACCAGTTCTCTGGCTGTGACCATCCAGCCAATTCCTTATCCAGTGAAGAGTCCACCCATCAAATCCACTACTCTTCAGTTTAGAGAAGGATGTTTCATATAGTCCACAATGATAATTCCCTTTCTGCAGTCTTTAAGGACTTCACCTGATTGCCATGACTTTTTAATTATCATGGAGAGGAGCATGGCAACTGCATCAGGCAGTTCCTTCAGGACTCTGGCAAGTATCTTGTCAGGTGCCATAGACTTAGGTACATTCAGGTTCCTTAGGTTGTCATGAACCTGATCTTTACTTAGAGTGGGAGGGACTTGGCTCTCCCAGCCCCTATTTCATAGTCCATCCACTTGAGAGGTGTAGGAAGATGCTGCCAGTAGGACAGAAATATTGTTGAGTACCTCAGCCTTCTCCTTATTTGTTAGCAGTTTTTTACCTTCTTAAATTTAATCCCACAACAGTTATTTTCAGAGTACTCAAAAATGTTGCTTTTGATTACAGGAAAATGAAAAAGAATTGGAAGAAGCTGAAGAGTATAAAGAAGCACGTTCCATACTGGAGTCAGTGAAGCTGGAAGCCTAGCTGTTTTCCAGTTCTTTCTTTATATGCGTTAGCACGGGGTCCATTCCACAGTTTCATTTGACTATGGCTCTACTACTATTGTTGACTTGCTAAAGTTCCCTTTATGCAAACTGAGCTTTCTCTAACTGCAAGGTGCATCAAATAAAGAATATTCTGAAACATTTGTGTGTTCCATATTCAGGCAAAATAGATATATTTCCAGTTCACCTCAATTTAAAAAAAAAAAAAATAAAGCCCATTTAAAGTAAATGTAATAGTTAAATAGAGAACTTAAATCTGAACAGTTCAGGCTAAGAAACAAAGTTTGGCTGTGTGAGGGACCAGTAAATACTTTAGAATGAAATAGCATTATAGAATAGTTTGGGTTGGAAAGTTCCATCTAGTTCCAGCCCCGACATGGGCTTTAGAAGCACCTTATATTTGAAATAATATACATTATAGCATAAAAATCTGTACTGAAAGAGAAGGCAGACCAAATAACCCTTCCCAATCACCTATCTTTCTGTGGTGCAATTTTCTTATCAAGTATGTATTCCTTGTTTATCTTTGAGTCCAAGACAAGAGCTGACTCCAGATCTTGCTCAATGTGCATGGCACTGAGTCGAGCCCAATTCATACAACTCCATCAAAATTCTTCTACTTTTCAGGCAACAGGATATAGCAGGTGACTAGTATATTGTGAGTTGCATCTGCTAAAAGAGTTCTGGACTGAACGCTTTTCCTGAAAGCACTTTGGCCTGATACTTTTTTTGAATAAAGTTCAAACCCCCAGGACATGAAAGAGAGCTAAGGGGAACTCATGGGTAAGGGAACAACACTTAGTCTGCCCAGAAGACAATTAAGACATTATGTACAAAAGCTGTGGTTTTTTTCAGAGTAGCTTCTCTAAAGCAAATAGTAAGTTCTGTTGATAAACAAGAAAGCTTTTTACATTAGTTTTTCTAGTTTGAAAGTGTTCCGGCATGTTTCTTAAAGGCAACACAAAGCACAGTGTACCTTTTGTGTGGTGCTAAATTGAATATTCAATAAAATTATTTGTTAATTTGCCTGAGTTTGAGTAAACTGCTGTCTCAGTACTTATTTATGTACCTTAAGCACATTTAGAGTGATGTCTACTTCTCCATCACTCTTAAGCACTGCTCTGACGAATCAGCACCAAAAGACTGCTGATTGAATCAGTCAGAATGATCTACTTTTGACCCCAGACCAGTACCGTAGAGGGCTAAAAGCTGAAACCTGTTTTGACAGTACAGTTCCGTAAGAGAGCATGTGTATATTCTTACCAGCATTGTGTTTTAGGCATGGAACTGCCAAGTGGACACTGCCTGGGTCACAGCACATATGAACTTCTCTTGAAGAAAAGGTTTCTTTGGATACTCATTTCACCCAGTTTCTTCTATGACCTTCACTGGGAAAGGTGGCTGGAGTGCACAAAGTGGATTGTGTGTCTCAGCTAAGAGATGGCAGCATGAGTGCTTGCAGCCATTGAGTGGAGTGTGGTGAATAAATGCTGAGCTAAAAAGGAAGTGTAGGGAGATGCCAAGTCTGCTGGGTAAAGCAGGGTTTAAAATAAAAATTTCTCTTGAGAAGAAGAAAGAATACACACTTCTGGAAAACAAGCCCAAACAAAAATGATGTGTAGTTGCTGAGTACCACAAGCAATGCATATGAAAGCTAAACAGGTGTGACCTATAGTGGCTGAAGGCAAGTAGGATTGTGACACGGCTTAAGCTGGCATTTAGAATGAAAGTCACATGGCCTCTAACTACCACACAACCTTTAGGGAAAGTTTCTTAGTGCAGTAGTTTCTAGAGTGAGTGATTTCTCATGTTTGCCTAATATGTCTCTGTCCAAGCCATTTCCTAGCTCCCTACTACTGCATCATGGACCAAGATGATACTCTGCCCTACCACTAAGTTCTCTAAAAATGAGCATGTTCTATAGTACAGGAAGTAGCCAGCCTCCCTGATGAAAATCAAGGTACGTATGTTCACACCTGAAAATACTTTGTCTCCAGATGCCTCTGGAACTGTCCAACTTCTGAAGGGACAGCAGCATGTTTTCAGACTGCCAACATACTTTAGGAGAAGGAAAAGCTAACTGTATACAAGTATTTTGAGTGAAATCCACAAAAAGCCTAAACCACAGAGAGCTGTTCTATTTCCCTATAACAATATCCTGTTTTGGCAACCCACTTTCCGCATCACTGGGTGAAACCTTTCAACAGACCTGCAGTCAATATGCATTCTAATATTTGGGGCATGAGGGGTGGGGGACAGACTTCAAGTCCTTGGTCTAACTCAAGAGGTTCAGATCAAGGAAGATGCTCAGTAACTGAGCCACACTTACTCCTGATAGACTTGGGTCCTCAGAATTGCCATATTAGTATCACAGGTGGCTGCACAGCTTCTTAAGACTGGGCAATCACCAAGAATCTACTACTAAAATTGGATGGTCTGATCACCCCAAAAGGGTGATCTTCAACAGACCTGTATGATGAAAGAAGTAGAATAGCAAGTGTGTGCATTTAATATGTGGGTGATACAAGGGTGTTCAGTATCTTCAAGGATAATATCAGAAGTCAAAAGGTTCCTGACAAACTGGAGAAAATTTAAAATACTTCTTTTAGTAAGGACATACTTAAATAAGAAAATAAAGCAAACTTCGACATGGCAGCAGCAATTTTCTACTGCACCAACATAGGAAAAAGTAAACACTGGACACCATATATGAGAGATACAGAATTTTAGTGTATTATACGCAAAACATTAGTTTAGCTCATAAGACATGGGCAACAACCTTTACACTCCTTACTAGAAGGGTTTTATCTAGAAGCATTACTGCAGCTAGTAGCTGCAACTAAAAGGGATGAACAAATAAGGATTCAGAGGAAAACAGTGAAAACTACTAAAAAGACTGAAAAATGGTGAATGCAAAAGAAGGAACAAATCCAGACATTTGAGCCTGGAAAACACTGAGGGTAGCAGTGGTAATAATCTTCAAGCATAAACAGAATTACAGAGGAAAATAATAACTTCTTCTTGGCAGACCAAGTAAGATAATAAGCTTGCGTTACAATGAGAGGGGGAAAACATTGGACAGGTTTCTTCCTTAGGAAACAACTAAGACAAATGAAGCTCTGGAACAGACTGCCTGTGGAGGCTGTTGGAGCTGCCTTCCTAGAGGTCTTCTCTTGACCAGGCAGCTCAGTCACTCATGACACTTGGACCGCTGATCCTGCCTCATATTTACACATGAGGGAAAAGCATCACAAGGTGGATGAGCGTTCATCCTTTCTCAACAACACTTACCTCCACACTCAAAAATACAATAGAGTTGTTACACAGCTGAAATTAACGACTTTGAATACAGCACAGAAGAGATCCCAGGAGTCCCCTCAAAGGAGACAATTCAGTGATACCTGCCTGACTTTTCAGATGTTGCACTTCACATTACAACTCAGGGCAGTCAAGGTGAAAATGCTCTTCCTTAATGAAAGGACCAGATGAACTAATTTTTTCTGACTTTCCACTTCCTATTCATGTTTCTGAACACTCATCAAACACACACAATATCAAAAATACTTCAGGTTCCCACTTGTCATTTTATTTTATGTGTTAATTTGTGCACAAATGAGCTCATTCAGGGCAAAGACAGAAGCAAGTTTGAAGTATAGCTGAAATCAGAAGGATGGAACTTGCAAGGTAAGAAGTGAACTGTGGGCCCTGCTGAAAAAACTGCAAGAGAAGTAGAAAATTTAGTTCAAGGTCTCACTGTTCATACAGATGCAAAGTAGGACTACAAGCTGAGGGAAGGGAGAAGAAAATGTTTTGTCTATGGCCTAACCATCTTAACAAAGCTCACATGTGATCTCTCAAGTGAACCCACTTCGAAGGACACTGAATAGAAAATACAAAGGAGAACCACTTCTGGGTTCCCTTCCATGTGCAGTCTTGGCTATGCTCTATTACCACATGTAACAGAGGGCTCATAATAAATCCAAATTATGGGGTTAGGACTTCAAAGGTGATGGCAAAAGGGATGTGTAATTGCCACCTTCCCCAGTTTTCTGAATACAAATTTAACCACAGTGAAAAAAATCAGCTCTTGAACTGTGCAGACTGCTGGCTAGCACATCTCAGCAGCCAGCATTTCAGGGCAAACATCACCACTCTAGAACCACTCAACATTAACATTACCTTTAAAAGAAAGCAGAAAAACTTCTATAACAGTTTTGTTTTCTTACTGTTCTGAAGTTACTGTAGATGTTACATTAGATGGAAGGAAACCCAGTAACCCACAGAAAGAGCCTCAATTAATAAGGTTAACAGAGGCTGAATAGGTTGAAATTGGAAAAATAAGCACATTATTTATGTATCAATTACTACTTGCTCTCCATTTCAACAAAAGGAAATAAAATTTTCTCATCTTTCCTAACAATCCAGAGGCCTCCTTCTGCCCCTGCATAATTAGCAGTAAATTTCACCACAGCTCTCCATAAGCAATCAAAAAGGCTACCTAATTAAAAAAGTAATTAGTTTACACAGATAGATATGAGTGGGTAGATTAGTTGATGAAAATAAAATTAAATTCCTCTGGATGCTTTTAGTGACTCAGCTTTCTGCTCTGTTACAGCTTCTACACATTTCTAAAGGAGCAGGTTAAAAATGAGTAAAAAATACTTCATTTGTAAACGAATAGAGTATCTTTCAAAACCAATTGATCAGATTTGGCTCGTCTTCTGTTTTCAACACAGAAGATAAACTTCACATTTTATGAAGTGTAAAAATCAGTTCCTCCATAAAAGAACTAATGAGTTATGTTTCATTTTCTCAGATCACTTACACAATACCTAGGCACCAAACCGAACCAATGAAAGGAAGGTTTGAACACTTAACACCCAGAACATTACAGGATTTGTAAGAAGCCAGAACAGCTCCTGATACCAGACCTGACCAAGGGGTCTTTTCCCTAGTCATTCTGCCATCAGCAGAAGTCAGGAAAAAAACGTGTTGTGCAGGACTGCAGTTTTCCTGAGGGTAAACATGCACCCTTCACACTTCTGCCATTTTCCCAAATGAAGGAACCTCCATTGCATTTTGTGATGGGAGCAGGGAGCTGTATTCTCACACTTGAGCTGGGGTATATGTGGGGAACACAAAACCAGTAGCCAAAACTCAAAGGAAGACAAGTATAACAAGTATAACTGTAATCCTTGATGACAACTAGGAAGCTTTGTCAGAGAAACCAGTGCATTAAGAAGCTTCCTTCCTCAAAGATTTTATCATGGCCAGTGCCTACTGATAGACCTCACCTCCATGAATGCATCAAATACCACTTATCACATTAAAATAAAATTGCTATAAGGAATCTAACCAGCATGAGGGAGGAGACTGCCTTTTTAACAGTGTGGGGGAAAAAAACCCGCAATGAACTAAACATTCTTTGTTAAGCAAATTAAACAGCTGTAAACTTAGGTTTTATACTTTTTTAAATTAAGAAGGTTATAACTGAAACTAAAGTTTTTAACAGATATATAAAAATATACAACTGCTATATACTGAACTTTGGAAACCATTTGTTTTTTAACGTGCCCGTAATAAACTCTCATTTTGTTTGCTATTTTTGGAGTGCTGCCCACCAATTCAAGGAATATTGAGTCAATTGGCAATTTCTGGCTACCATGTACTCATGAGAATCCACTTGGAAGACATCTGAAATTCCACATGTATCCTCAGACACAGTAGATGGAGCCAGTGGGGAGGAAAGAAAAGCTTTTGAAGTGATGAAAATGAAGCAATTTTCACACCAAAGCTAACAAACCTCAGATTACTTGGTCAAACCAATTTTAAATTGGTAATTAGCAACAATACCAATACACTGTTCACCAGCCTACACAAAGTAAGCTGGTGAACCTTGTCCATTTCTAAATATCATTGAGCTTATAGAAAGACAGACCTAAAAAGCCATCATATTAGGTCTTCACTGTGCCAGGGCAAGAGGGCAGAACCCACATCCTCACTACTAGCCCCTTCAAAGGAGCCTAGATCT